CCCCCCCCATGGGAACCAGGATGCTCCCATGGCACAGTTTTGGAGGTAGACTGCAGCAGACAGGGTCAGATGCCGGCCCGAGGAGATGAGGGGGCGGGGTGGAGGGTAGCGGGGAGCGCTCACGAGGCCACGCGGTCTGGGAGGGTGTCTTGGAGGAGGCAAAGCTGGGCCAGCTGAGGGTGGTGAGGTTTGGGGTCTCCTGGAGCCAGGGTGGTGCCCAGCGCGGGGCCTGAGCAGGCGGGCGGGGCGCTAGCTGAATGAATGAGCGATGGACCAGCCTGACCCGCAGCTGCACCGGCGGCTGGAGCGTGAGGGGGTGGGGTGTCGAGGCACAGGCCCCTCAGCTGGTAGGGGTAAGTGACAGGCTGGACAGAGCTGGGCCAGAGGTGCACCAGGCGAAGGTCTGAGTGAGGGGCAAAGGGCTCAGGGAGGGTTCCTGGGGTGCAGGGCTCTGAGATGGGAGGAGTTGGCAGGTAGGCTGGGGTTTAGCGGGACCCTGGCCCTCCCAGGCCAGACGACTTCCTTGCGAGGCTGGAGAGCTCAGGGTCCCAGCCTCTCCAGGGGCCCCAGTGGCCTTGCCCAGGTGGGTGGGGTGGGTCAGGCGAAGAGCCGCTGAGCCCTGAGGATGGCCAGGTTTCTAGCCTGGGGGCAGGCCTGCGGCCGGAAGCCCTGACTCAGAGCGTGGCTGGTGCCAGGTGGGAGCCAGGAGATTGGCATCGTGGCATCGTGGGGAACGTGAGAAGCCCTGGAGGCCCTGGTCACAGCCCCACGGATGCTGAGCCAGCCTGAGACACTGTCAGTGCCGCGAGAGCCAGCCCCACATGCGCAGGGACGCAGGCCTGCGGGGGCGTGGGTCTCACCTGGCGATGCACTCAGCAAGACCCAGGTCAGGCAGATAGATATCCATCCCCCAGGGTCCCCAGGGCCACAAGCATTGCCCCCGGGCCCTGAGCCAAGAAGGGATGGAGCTGACCTGGGCTTGCCCTGGGGGTTCTCACAGGCCAGTGACCAGCTCACCTTGGGGTGAGCTGTGCCCACTCTGGCTGCCCAGGGAGCGAGGTGGGTGGGTGAGGGTGGCGTGGTGGTGGAGGGAGGATGCACCGTGTATTCAGGACTGACNGGTGGCGTGGTGGTGGAGGGAGGATGCACCGTGTATTCAGGACTGACCCCAAGGCGTCCAAGGGGTCGGGGGCAGCAGAGGAAACTCAGGTCTCAGCTCAGGGGGTTGGGCACAGAGCAGGAGGTTGAGGAGACTTCCTGGAGATGGCAATGCCCCGGGGGAGCCCCGAAGGACGAGGCTGAGTCAGCCAGGGGGCAGGCGGGTGTGTGGTCAGAGGGACTGGTCAAGATCAAGGCCTGGAGGCAGGAGAGGGCGCCTGTGTTCTGAGTCACCGGTGGTTCCTCTGGGCTGGCGCAAGGAGGCAGGGCTGCCAGGGCTGGGATAGTGGGGGTGAGGGGGTGCTTGGGAGTCATGATGAGCTCCAGCCGCTGGGTGAGGTAGGACCCAAGAAGGGAGCCCCAGCACGGCAGCAGGGTAGGACCTGTTGGAGGAGCCAGGTGCAGCACTCAGGAACTCACGGCTTATCCAGGCAGGCTCCCTGGAAGAGGAGGCTCAGCACAAGGCTTGGTCTGTGGGTCAGAGGTCAGTAGGTGGAGGTGGGAGGTAGGCACCCTGGATGTGTGACGTGTGATTCAGCAGGGCTTGTGCCTGGAATGCATGGTTTGGGGAGCACAACAGCCAGTCTGAGGAGTTTTCAGGGGCTCCTAGAAGCCCCTGCCTGCAGAGACACCTTGCCCACTCCCTGTTCCCTCATTGGGGTGAGCTGTGCCCACTCTGGCTTCTCTCTGCTGTGTGGGGGGACACCTGTGAGTCACTCACACTCCAGTGTGAATTAGCCCATCAAACCCCAGGGGCCCCTGATGCACACAGTCCCATGATAGCACCTGCTTCGTGGGCCGACAGGAGGCATCCTGAATGCAGCGGAGGCCCTGGCTCAGCGGGCCGGCGGGGGGCTCTCCACGCACCCTCTGTTACTGTCCCCCGATGTCCCACGAGTGTGCCGGGGCCTGTGCTGGGCATTGTGTCCCTGTGGTCTCCCTGGACAGCATGTGGGGGGAGGATTTATGCCCACTTCATAGGGGAGGCAGCTCAGCTCTGAGTGGCCGGTAGGGAATTGGCCCAGAGGTGGGAACAGGCCTCAGGCCCCCAGTTCCTCCTCCCGGGGCGGGGATGGACGAGCACGTCCGGGCACGGCAGGGACCGGGACGGAGTGGTACCATAGGCCGAGCCTCCTCCCAGGGCCTCCGACATGCCCTGGCCCCCACCCAGCCTGGGCCCCAGGGGAGGTCTCCTGCGGGGTCTCCTGAGCGGGGCAGGGGCCCGGCTGCCTGCTCTGAACCACTCACCTGGGCACCAGGATACGGCTGTGGCTCTGGCACAGGCGCTGGGTGAGGCGGGTCTGCACCGGGCGCGAGTTGCGGGGAGCTGGGCTTCGCGGTCTGAGTGTGGCTGGAGGGGAGGCTCAAGGGGGAGAGCGGGGAGGCTCAGGGAGGGGGTGGCCAGTCCCCAGAGGCTGTGGGTCCCTGAGTGAGGAGGGAGCCGGGGGGAGGTCTTGAGCAGAGGATGGCGCGTCCTGGGATATTTCAAATGGTGGCGCGGGGACAGGCGGTGGAGCGCAGGGCGGAGACTGGCAGTGGTGGGTCCCACCAGGGTGGTAGCCACAGCGTGGGGGGCAGAAGTGAGACTCTCAGTGCCTCTTGCAAGGAAGGTCAGTTGCAGATGGGTCTGTAGGTATGAGAAGGAAGGAGGGAGGGAGGGTCCTGGAGGCGGCCGCCAAGTTGGAGCGGTAAAGAGGGGCCTTGCTTGTCCACCCATAGCAAGTCCTGGCTGAGCACTCCGACCCCACTGGGGTGCGGGCAGCGGGGTGAGCCAGCCAGGCCCCAGTCCTGCCCTCCCAGAGGAGGATGCAGGTGGGAGCATCAGGCCATCACACGTGGTGGGAGAACCGGGCCGAGGCGGCAGGACCCACGGATGGAGGCCACGGGTCAGGGACGGCCTCGCCGTGAGAGCCAGGGCGCTGGCCCGTGGCTGTGGCCGTGGAGGCGGAGCCGTCCAGGCCGGGCCCAGCTGGCCGGTGTGCAGGGCACGGACAGCCACCGGAGGGGCCGCGCTCACCGTGGCGGTGACTGGCCTAACACTTTCCCAGTGACCACTTGGGGCCGGGGAGGCCGGAGCAGGGGGCAGCTGCCCAGGGAGCGAGGTGGGTGGGTGAGGGTGGCGTGGTGGTGGAGGGAGGATGCACCGTGTATTCAGGACTGACTGACCCCAAGGCGTCCAAGGGGTCGGGGGCGGCAGAGGAAACTCAGGTCTCAGCTCAGGGTCAGGACGCACAGTGGGGGCCCATGTGGAGGGATGCCAGCTGAGAGCTCAGAAGTGGAGCAAAAGGGACGGGAAATTGTCCCTTGGGTTTGGTGACTCGGGGGCTCTGCTAGGAGCAGGGTGGGAGGAGCCTGTGGTGAGGAACTGGTGGCCTGCAGAGGGGTGGGTGATGGCTGGACCTTCCTGGGGGCCCTGGTCGATGGGGGAGGCACAGCCTTTCTCTGGGAGCTCTGATCTGAGGGGCCCAGGGCCCCCTGCAACCTCCCGTCAACTCAGGCAGGGAGGGGCTCCCGCCCTCCTCGTGCTGGCAGGGGCCCCGGCTCCAGCTTCTTCTCTCGCCCTGGACCTGGGGGTGGGGAGGCGCAGGTGGGTGTCACTGACCCAGATTCCTCGGGCCTGGGCCTGGGAGGGGGGCGTGGCTCTGTGCCCCAGATATTCCAAGTTTCTGAAGCTCAGTCAAGAGGCGACCGATGGTCTCCCACATGTGGGAGTGTGTGTGAGGAGGGGACAGCCTGCCTGTGCTGCAGAGATGGTAACAGGTATCACCTGCAGCAGGAGGGATCGCGGTCAGACGTGGTGAAGAACTTCCAGATGTTGTGGGTATAAGAGGATACGTCCTAGAGGTTTTGTTGAAGAAAGAGGGCTGAGGGTCCCCTGACCTTTCCCAGTTCAGGGTGTGCCTAAGACGCAAGCGAGGGTCCACCGGTCAGGGACCACCGCCCACCCGTCCTGCTCCAGCCAGCCCTCAACTGATGCCCAGCGCAACACAGAAAGCACAGCTAATGGTCTGGGAAAGCTCCATTGACCGAGCTTTGCCCTGGTGTGGGATGGGCCTTAGGCAGGCCCCCCCTCCGCCTGGTCTGGGCCTTGGGCCATCCTTGAGGGTCCCTTTCAGATTTGCTCCGCAGAGTTCAGTGGCTCAAATACTGTAGGCCTTGTAGGTTGGTCAGACAGATAAAAAACTGGAATCCTGGTCCTCCTGCTGTCTTGCTGCGTGGCCTCGGGCAATCATACCACTTCTCTGAGCCTCAGTTTCTCTATCTACACAGCTGAGTTGAGGATTATTGCAAAGATTAAATGATAAAATGCACAGGAAGCTATTAATGTTGAGGTGAGGTGGGGGAGGGGACAAGGAGAGGGTCCCTGTCCCTGTGTCGCGTGTCAATGGCCTGCCAGAGCCAGGGGGACCATGGAGTGGGGAGGGGCCAAGGCCAGGGAGCTTGCAGAGGTCTTGCAGGGTCTGGGTGAGCCCAGGAGCTGCCCACCTCCCAGGCTGCCAGCCCCAGCAGTTGGTCCTCTGGACCAGGGGCGGACGCCTCCTCGTGCCCTCCGTGGCCTGAGGCTGCAGGGGCAGGCCCTGGCCGAACCCGTTAGCAGGGTGGGCCCTGCTCCTCGTTGTTGTCGCCTCCCCTGGGAGGCTGATAAGCTAATTGGTGCCCATAGCAGGAGTCCTGTGGGGCTAACCCGCAGCCTGGGCTGGACTTCTCCCAGGAGGTGGCCAGCAGCCGTCAGCCTGGCGCCCTGCAGACCCGCCAGCACTGCCTGGGAACCTGCCAGCCTACCGGCCCCAGCCAGCCTGGCTCCCCTCACCCCGGCCCTTGGGGTGCTGTCCCTTCCCAACCCTCCCAGCAGCCTTCAGCAGGCGGAAAAGATGGGTTCGGGGTCCCCCCCCCCCGCTCACTCAGAGTAGGAGGGCTGAGGCAGCGTCGTGGCTGGACTGTGAGAACACTAGAGCTGAGATTTGAACCCAGGACCGGCCGGCCACAGACTCCTGCTCTTAGGAGCGGGCACGTGGCCAATGTCGTGGACAAGCCTGAGAGAGAGGGAGGCACTGTCTCCAGGCCGGAACAGCCCACAGGCCTCCTGCCCGGAGCGTCCTGCCCGGAACGTCCCGGGTCTTGGGGACTCCTGGCCTGCACTCCCTTGGCCATCTTGGCGTCTGGTCAGTGGCTTGCACGCGCACCCCAGGAGTGAAAATGGGGTGCTCTGGGGCTGGGAGGGACCAAGGGCAGCTGGGGCTCAGCACTCTGTACCCACTCTGCGTAGTGCTGGGGGATGAGGGGAGACAGGAGTGTGACGTGCACAGCACAGCTGAGTGAGGCCTTGGTAAAGCCCCGCTGAGGGTGCGGGGGGGACCACGCTGGATCTCCCAGGACTCTCCAGGGCCCCGCACTCCCTTTCCTGATCCTTCCATCCCCCAGGTCTTGTTTCTGGTTCTGTGGTCATTGGGGTCTTCTTTTCTAGAGGAAGGAAGGGGAGAAGAGGTCTCTACCGGGGCCTTAATAGCTTTTGACTTCTGCTCCACTCCACGCCAGGGACGCCGGGTGTGCAGGATGGCGGCCCAGGAGGTGGGACCACACAGGCAGCCGAGCCCCTGGCCTCCATCCCAGGGGCTGCGGTCAAGGCTGTGGCCTTGGCCCTGGCCCTGCCTGGGCACTGCTGTGCTGTGTAGTCAGGCACACCTCGGCTCCTCCCGGGGCCAGCACGGGTTCAGGTGGGCCAAGGTGGGAAGGCTCAGGCGGAGGCGTGGTCAGGAGCCAAAGAGGTGGAAGCTCCGGGGGCCCTCCCGTGGCATTCTTTATGAGGGCCCCTAAGATGGATGAGCTTTGGGCCCCCCAAACCCTGGCCCCCATGGGCTCAGGGGCCAATGCTAGTGAGAGGGATGCCACAGAGCCCTGATGCACCCCACGGAGCCAGGGCCTAGCCTCTGCCTAGCTGTCACCTTGGGCCTCAGTTCTCCTCCTCTGTAAAACAGGGGCAGGCCCTTCCCCGTGGGGGGAAAATGAAGAGAGAAAAGCAGACTCGAGGGCATCCAGCCGGCCCAGAGTGTGTCCCTTCTCCCCAGGGGCCTGAAGCTCGGAAAGGAGATTGTATAACATCCCAAATTCAACAGAAGCAGCTCTGGGTTCTGGGATGCCCAGAGCTGAGACCCTAAGCTTTCCTAAAGACGTTCTTGCAGGTGCTGGGCTGGGGGGCGGGGGGGCCTTGACGGTGTCCCACCGTCAACCTCCCGACCGTCTCCTCCCCATTTTAGAGATGAGGAAACTGAAGCTAGGGCCGGTAGCTGACTTCCCAGGTGACACAGCCAGAAGGTAGCCCAGGATGGTTGCTTGCAAATCCAGGTGTTGAGCAGACGCCCGCTCAGTGTGTGGGGGTCAGGGGTCCCCTGGGAGTGCACACCCCCAGCCCGCCTTCCATACAGAGGGCCTGGGATGGGGGAGACAGGCTGAAGGCTTTGGAAGGCAGCTCCCTTGCAGCTCCCTCCTTCTGGGGCTGGGGCTGAGGGATCTAGGGCGGGCCGGGGGTGGACCCTTGCCGCAGAGACCTGGAATTTCCCCCCCAAAGTCCCGGGGCAGACACCGGGTCTGAGTTATTTGGGGGCCGAGGGGGCTTTTTCGGCCCTGGGGTCAGAAGGAGACCACTCCCAGCTGAGGTTCCCGAACAGCGGTTTCAGTCTCGACTCTTCAGCCTGGAGCCCTCCAGCCTGCAGGCCCAGGGCCCTGGGGAGGGCACTCCATGGGCACCTTCTGCGGGTGCTGCCAGACAAGTGGGTCGGCGTGGGGGTGGGGGACTTAGATCAACAGCGACTGGTTCCCAGAGTAGTTCAGTCCGGCGCACTGAGGCCCTAACAAGCGCTGGTTTCAAGGGAACCAGAGCCACCAGAGCGGCAGACAGCAGGAGGGCCCTGGGTCAGACGGCAGGGGGCACGCTCAGGCTGCTCCCCCGACCCCCGGGGTGGAGGGGGGAGCGAGGAGAAGGCCGATCGGGGCCGGGGGAGGTGGCTGTGGGAGCGGGGTGGTCCCAAGGTCACCAGCGCGACGCGGGGGACGGGGGAGGAGGCGCAGAAGCGCCCCTCATCCCGCCCCGGCCCGCGCGCGCACCGCAGGCTGCCGCGCCCCCC